GATGGTGTGAAACTCAAAGAGGGAGACTGAGACTAAAGAGAAGGAAGAGATTTTGGATGCTGAGGGTGGTGAAGAGCCTGTCCCAGGCTGCCCAGAGAGGTGGTCGCTGCCCCATCCCTGGAACCATCCCAGGTGAGGTTGGCCGGGGCTCTGAGCACCCTGCTCTAGCTGCAGATGTCCCTGCTCCCTGCAGGGGGTTGGACTGGGTGACCTTGAAAGGTCCCTTCCAATCTAAACCATTATACTGTTCTATAATTCTATGATTTGATGAAATTGAGGCCATGGGGCAACAAAACGCACCCTGCAGGTCTGCAGGTGAAGGAGAACCTGAACACAGCCCCAGATCTCCATCATCCCCCCACCCTCTGCCAATACCTGTGCAGTTGGCTCCCTTTTACTGCCGTGTTGAAGGCAACTTGTGTTAACCAGAACTAGGAGGTCAAATTTTGCAAAAATAGCTTCATCTCAGCAAAGAGAGCTCCTAGGTCCAACCAGAGGGAGAGCTGCACGTGCTATGGTTGCTCCAGGCTGAAAATAGACCTTATCTCTCATCTGTCAACATCTGCTTATCACACGTCAGCAATATTTCCCAGGCCTCACAACTGGCTCCATCTTCCTGGGTTTTTTTTTTGCTTCTATTTTGAGAGAGAAGCTGGAAGGCTCAGGAAATGTGACTGCAGCTTCTCACTGCCCTTCATGCATACGTCCTGGGGTTGGGAACCTGGAGCTGGGGGTGCTGAGCCTGGAGCAAAGGAGGCTCAGGGGAGACCTTCTGGCTCTGCACAGCTCCTGACAGGAGCCTGGAGCCAGGGGGGGGTCAGGCTCTGCTCCCAAGGGACAAGCCACAGAACTAGAGGAACCAGCCTCAAGTTGCTCAGGGTAGGTTTAGGTTGGAGCTGAGGAACAATTTTGTCTGCTTAAGGTTTGCCCAGGGCTGTGCCAGGCTGCCCAGGGCAGTGGTGGAGTCCCCACCCCTGGAGGGGTTTCCAAGCCGTGGAGATGTGGTGTGAGGGACACGGGGCAGTGGGGACCTGGCACTGCTGGGGAAGGGTTGGAACCCATGATCTGAAAGATCTCTTCCAACCAAAACTCTTCTATAATCCTATTCTATGACCCACTTGTTTGTTTTTTTTTTCCACAAAAATAACATTGAAAAAGCAGCAATGGAGACAAAACAGCAGCAAAGAAACACTCTAGAGGTACAGATATGAGAGGCCATCCTCAGACAAGACCTTAAGGATGGGAAGTGACACAGGAGAAAGGAAAACACATTAACCCCAGCAAGTTACACCCTCTGGTGCCATCAGTGCCAAGTGTGGCTGACTGGGCTGTGTGCTCAGCAGAACCCACCTGGAGCCACGAAGTGTTTGACACTGGTGAACTTGGCTTTGTCCCAGGCTGTGGAGAGGGAGCAGCCCTTGGGCACTGTCCACCCTGCTGACCTGCCAGCCTTGTCCTTCTCCTCAGCTGTCTCGTAGACCTCCACGTGAGGTGGCTTCTCTGTCAGGTTTTTGCTGTAGTGGCTCAGCCCGTACTGGGCGATCTGGATGGGGTAGAAATAGCCCTGAGGGCCCCACTGGGTGGACAAGGGCACACCTACAGGGGAGGAAGAAGAGGAGTGGTTTATTGGCATGGTTTCCACAATAAAACCCCAGTGTTTGCAGCCCTGCACACTCTTCCTCCTTAACTCATCACTATTTAATTCTAGCAAATCATATTTCCAAGCTTCAGCTCTCACTGGAGTTGAGGGAAGTTCCATTCAAGGATTGAATTGCTCCAATTTACACTGAGATCTGTGATTAGCCCAAACGAAGCAGTTTTGAGTGGCAGAGAATTCCTTCACAGGGTCTTCCACACATTCTCCTTTAATGGTTTTCTGGGACAGGACAAGAGGAAACAGCCTCAAGTTGCCCCAGGGGAGATTGAGGTTGTCCCTGAGGAACAATTTCTTCCCCTGGAGGGTTGTCCAGGGCTGTGCCAGGCTGCCCAGGGCAGTGGTGGAGTCCCCACCTTGTTTGTACACATACCTCCACCTACAAGCAACCACAGGACACTTTAAGATCTGGCCAAAACAAGGATTCTCCCAAAGCTCTGAATTTGACTCGAGACAATTCCCCAGCTCTATGTATGAATGCCAAGTGGGAATATCACTGTGACCCCCTTGCAGGAACCCAAGGATGTTCAGCACTGCAAACCTCTGCATGAGAAAGGAGAAATGATGAAAATAAACAAGTTGCCATTTGCATCCTTTTCCCCCTGGGCCGTATCAAGCTCAGCCACCCAATTCCTTCTGAAATGTGCTCCAAGGAAAAGGTGACTTAGACTGAATGGGAAAATTTTCATACATATTTGGGTTCTTTGTGTGTGGTGGAGATGGGGTGCCTTGCTGCTGCCTCCAGAGGAAACCATCACAGGCAGGATTTAAACACCATGAGTCCTGAAGGCAGCTTCAACATTTACAGTGAGGGGTTCACTCAGTGAGGCTGAAAGATGTGAAACCAGGAACTGGTGATAAGAGCTTGACTTGGAACGTGTATGAGATGACAAGATGAAAAAAGGAGCTGTGTAGAGCCAGAAGGTCTCCCCTGAGCCTCCTTTGCTCCAGGCTCAGCACCCCCAGCTCCCTCAGCTGCTCCTCCCCACACTTGGGCTCTAGACCCTTCCCCAGCTTTGCTGCTCCTTCCTTTACAGACAAACCAATCACAAGATGTTCCAGCTTTCTGCAGTGACCCAACCATGGGACATCCTCATATCAACACAGCAGAGCATCACCAATCAGTGAGGTGCATGAAAATTAATGTGTTTTATTTCTTAAGTGAAAGTTGGTCTTTAATTTATGAGGGGGTCACAGTGTCACATTCCATAACAGTTATTCTAAAGTCATTAATTTTTTCATATGAGCCCTAACAAGATCACATCTTGGCCGAGCTGCTGGCAGAGCCTGTGTGCTAATTACTGACTGCACTCCTTAGCACCAGGGCAAATTGGAAAGCTCTTCCTGCACAGTAATCCTAGGGACAGGATTCCATGGCTGGAGAGCTTTTTGACCCTTCAGAATCTCCTCACCCTGCAGCGAGCAGAAGGCCCTTGGCAGGATGAGGGAGGTGATGTCCTGGCACTGATTTAGAATCATAGAATGGTTTGGGTGGGAAGGGACCTTTAAAGGTCACCCAGTCCAACCCCCCTGCAGGGAGCAGGGACATCTGCAGCTAGAGCAGGGTGCTCAGAGCCCCGGCCAACCTCACCTGGGATGGTTCCAGGGATGGGGCAGCGACCACCTCTCTGGGCAGCCTGGGACAGGGGCTCACCACCCTCAACATACAAAATTTCTCCCTTCTCTCTAGTGTCAATCTCCCTCTTTGAGTTTCAGACCCTTCCCCTTGTCCTGTCCCAACAGCCCCTGCTCCAAAGTCTGTCCCCAGCTTTCTGGCAGGCCCCTGGCAGCCCTGCCGGCCCCCAGCAGGTCTCCCCAGCTGGAGCCTTCTCCTCTGTGGCTGCCCCAGCCCAACTCTCTCCTGCTGGGCTCCCAGCAGAGGGGTTCCCCCCTCGGGGCATTGCTGGGGCTCCTCTGGCCCCGCTCCAGCAGATCCAAACATTAAACCCAGTATGAAGCAGAGACCACAGGTGACTTCTCAGAGCACATGGGGTTTATCAACAGCTTCTCAACCAAGTTAAGATCACTTTGCCCCTCAAAAGACAGCAGCCAATCTTAAGAAGCCTTTCAATTATTAAAAAAAAGAGACAAAATCCTCAACACCAACCTTCAACACCACTTATGCACTTCACCCTGTCCCGGACCTCTACGTTGTACCCCTCGAAGGACATGAAGACCCCATCAGGGTGGTAAGGAGCTCGTTGGGTGTAGACCTTGGAGTAGCTATGAGAGAACTCAAACCTGTCGTAACCATCGTACTGAACGATCTTCCCATAAACCTCAAAGTACTTCTCCACCCAGCTGAAGGGCAGGAAGACCTCGTTGCCTTCCCTCCTCCCTTTCACCGTGTACTCCTCGTTGATCAGGCAGTCCAGCTCCTCGTACTTCAGCCCGGGGGCTTTGTTCAAGGCCCCTGCCACCACGGGAGGAGCTTTCTGCTGCTCCTGGGGAGATGCCTCCTCGCTCTGCTGCCTGGGCAGGTCCCCCTCAAGGGCTGGAGCTCGGTGGTCGGGGCTGAGGCCTCGGGGGAAGGGGCCGGCCCTGTCCGAGGAGCAGCGGTTCCACAGCAGCACCATGGCCAGGGTGAAGAGGGAGCAGATGATGATCAGAGTCTTGTAGTTGACCCGAGCTGCCAAGCAACGCATATTCACACCATACCTGCAAGAGAGGAAGGGGGGGAGGTTGTTGAGATGGGGGGATTCCAGACAGGACTGTTGGTTCTGCTCATTCGGAGCCTCGGTGGAGCTGGTTCTCCAGGAGCTTCACCACCCTGCACGTCACACTGGTCTTCACTGGGAAGAGGGGGACAGGCAGGGGCACCTAGAAGAGAATTTGGGGTTTGCCATCTCTCCACAGCAATGAGATCATAGACAAGAATTGCAGAATCATTTTGGTTGGAAAAGACCTTCAAGAGCATGGAGTCAACCATGCCCCCAGCACTGCCAGGTCCCCACTGCCCCATGTCCCTCACACCACATCTCCACGGCTTGGAAACCCCTCCAGGGGTGGGGACTCCACCACTGCCCTGGGCAGCCTGGCACAGCTCTGGGCAACCCTCCAGGGGAACAAATTGTTCCTCAGGGACAACCTCAACCTCCCCTGGGGCAACTTGAGGCCCTTTCCTCTTGTACTGTTCCTTGTTCCTGGGGAGCAGAGCCCAACCCCCCCCTGGCTCCAGGCTCCTGTCAGGAGCTGTGCAGAGCCAGAAGGTCTCCCCTGAGCCTCCTTTGCTCCAGGCTCAGCACCCCCAGCTCCCTCAGCTGCTCCTCCCCACACGTGGGCTCTAGACCCTTCCCCAGCAGCTCCGTTGCCCTTCTCTGGCCACACTCCAGCCCCTCAAGGTCCTGCTGGGAAGGAGGGGCCCAAAACTGACCCCAGGATTTGAGGGGTGGCTTCTCCAGTGCCAAATCCAGGGGGACAAACCTTGCCCTTGTCCTGCTGGCTACACGATGAGATCCAATGCACCAAGTCATGCTTCACCTCCCAGCCCTGACAATGTATTGTTTCACCAAAACAAAGCATGCAAAGAAGTGGTGGTGGTGTCAGGGCATCCACTTCTCCATCATAAGCTTAATGAGATGCTCAGTGGCCACCAGGAATCAGTGCACAAACTCTGACAGGCCTCAGCACACAAAGGGAAGAGAAAAACCTCATCAGAACATGACCAGCAGCTGTGCAGCACCACGGAAGAGGGATTTCCAACAATCCAGCCCTGTAAGCAAAACCTGAAACCTAGAAATATTCGTGGGTCACACTGCTGAGATCACAACACACCCACAGAAAAAGGAAAGGGGTTTTTTTTTTCCCTGTTTTAAGCCCAAGCTATAAACATTTTCTGAGAAGAAACTCAAGGCCAGAGGCTGGATGGATTCTTGACGTTACTGCACCTCAGCTGCACTTTCAGAAGAATGATGTGAGCGAGGAGGAGGAAGGAGGCTGGGGAGGGAGGATTTACAGCCAGAGTCCCAGGGGATGGATCAGTGGCCCCAAGCCAGGAGCCTCCAGAAGCAGTGAAGGAGGGACTGGGAAAGCAGAGGGGTGTCTCTGGGGATGGGACCTCCACGGCTGCCCCGGGGGCTCACGTCTCCTGCTCCCACAGGGGAAGGCAGAAATGATGTGAAACCTCTCTTGGGGTTTTCTTTCCTTTTCTTCTGCTGGAAGATAAAGCTCCTGCTGGTGAAGGATGTTCCAGTACTGCCACACAGCCCCCCACGGGGACCAGGGTTGAGCAGCACGGCCACAAACAGAGAGGTTGAAGTGATTTAAGCATGTTTCCTCAGAAGACCCTGCTTCTGCCTAGGGACAAAGTCCCTCAAACAAATCACACATGTCTCTGTGCAGGAATGTTTAAGATAGACTTCACAAAATCCTTATTAAACAGAAGTTTAATTTCACAGAATAACTTTGAATCCCAGCGTGGGGGAGTTGGGAGGGACCTCTGGAGATCATCTCACCCACCCCCTGCTCCAGCAGCTCACCCACAGCAGGGTGCCCAGGGTCACAGCCAGGAGGGTTTGGGATCTCTCCAGAGCAGGAGACTCCACAGCCTCTCTGGGCAGCTGCTCCAGGCTCTGCACCCTCACACCCAAGAAGTTTCTCTTCCTGCTCAGATGTCCTCCTGCTCAGGTGGCACCTCCTGGGTTCCAGTTGGTGCCCGTTGCCCCTTGTCCTGTCACTGGCACCACTGACCAGAGTCTGGCCCCAGCCTCTTGCCCCCCGGGGCCCTTTAGCTCTTGCTCAGCACTGATCAGATCCCCTCCGAGGCTTCTCTTCTGCAGCTGCACAGCCCCAGGGCTCTCAGCCTGGCCTGGCACAGAGATGCTCCTCAGCAACTCCATAGCCTCCACTGGAGTAGTTCCTTGTCTCTCTTGAACTGGGGAGTCCAAAACAGGACCAAATACTCCAGAAGTGGCTTCACTAGAGTAGAGTAGAGTAGAACCTCCCTTGACCTGCTATCCAAAAACTCTTCTTCATGCACCCCAAGAGACCACTGGCCTTCTTTCAGCTCCCTAGTAATCCACAGTCTCACAGTTAAATTTGGAAGCCATGCTTTAATTGACATCCCCAGGGCCACTTGGCCACCAAGCCAGGGGCTGGTGCAGCCCCAAATGTTGCTGGACACATCAAGGAGGTGCTCCAGAAACTGCTGCAGGTACTGCAGATATTCTGCTGATGGGCAGGAGTTAACTACACACCAATTAAAAGGATTTTCATCCACAGCTCTACACCCTCCACCCCTTTTTATATGGAAATAATCAATTATCTCTCCCCAGTTTTATGCTTCCACACTATAAGCACCATCTGGTCATTTAAAACTGGACTTTAAAAGGTAAGTGTTTTATTTTCTGGAAGCCCAGTTTGCTACAAGCTTTTAGAGAACATAAACTCAGATATAATTGTATTTTTTATGGAAATGCTACCAGAAGAATAAATCCAATTTTCTGCCTCAGCAGGTCATTTTTAGTGATGATGCTTTCAGGATGTCCTCCACAAACACAACAGGAGAATTCCCAGGCTGACATTTCTGACACACTTCACCTCTAGCTATAAACCTCAAAATTAATTAAGCCATCTGGATTAGCAGAGGATGAGGACAGAGGGATGGGGAAACACCAACCCCACGCTTTTTACAGCCCTATGGTGTTAAACAGAGTCCATAAGGTCCTGGCTCTGCTGTTATACACAGCTTTGATTTTATTTTCTTTGACTTCTGCTGCCTTGGACAGTAGAATTTGGAGTGGTGCAAAGAGCTGGAGCTCCAGGGAGGAGCAGGAGATGCTGCAGGTCAGCTCCAGCTGCATCTGCAGCTTCTTGGCAACGCTGCTGAAATATTTAGTTTTTTTATGAACTATAAATGAACCGAAGGGGAGGCAGAAAGAAAAGCAAAGTATTTGCAGAGAATCATCACAGTAAGTCTCACCCATCCCTGAATAAATATCCATGTGGGAGAGAGGCTTATTCCCTGTTAAATGGGTGGATGGATTTTTCATTCAGCCACAGAAAAGAAGAATTCAGGATTTCAGCAGTAAAAAGAGGCCATTGAAACCCACAAAGGGACTGCATTAAATCGCTTCATTCCCTCCCTGCTCTCAGGAAGAGGATTTCAGCACACCACACTTAGAAGATTTAAGGAGCACAAGGTGGGGAAAGTAGTTCCAAGTTCTGAAGTGACCCATCCTCAAGGTGCCTGCTTGTCTTCTCCTCGTTTGCCTGGATGCCACCCCTGACCCTCCGAGGCTGTGCACCAAAACATCCCCCACCTCAATCTTAAGGCATAGGCTGTTTATCCTAAAAGTGGATCCTTATCCCTCAGGTAAGACTGGAGCTCCAGGTTTGAAAGGATAAATAATTATTAGAATTCTGGCTAAAATTCCTTTAATTCCTCTGTGGAATTAGTACAGGATTGGGACCCAAGACCATGATCCTGGAGTACAAGGACTGGGACCAGCACCTGCACTGATCGACAGCGACAGCACAAATCCCCTATCAATTAATACTTAATTCATTTTCTACTTAGTTCCTATAAATGATATAAATCATTATGTAAATTCTAATTAAAATGCCAAAAAATAGCATTTCTTACAGACTGACCAACTGGTCAGTTCCAATCCCAACAACCAACCTCCACATGTACCCCAAAACACAGAGAAACTTCTTCTGCCAATCCAAAGGAGGGGTCCAGGCTTCTCAGGGACCTTTTTTGGAAATAAAGAACAAGTGGATTAAATGAAACTAACCCCTCAAATCTGCTGCTTTACTGATGATGCCTGGAAAAAGGATAAATCCTGGTATTCCATGCTGTGAATTCAGGATCCACAACCCCAGCTGCGTAGCCCAGAGTGACAGATTCAGGCCTGGTTCTCAGTTCTTACAGAAACCCAAGTTATCCACGTTCTAAAAATATCTGTCTCTCTCCCTCTCTCTTCCCAATTCCCTCAGAAGACAGGGGTTTGAGCTGCAAAGCTGTGTGGAGTATATTAAAAGGTAGAAAGTCTCTGAAGTCCAGATCATAGAATCATCAAATGGTTTGGGGTTTTTTTTTGGTGGGCAACCTGGGCCAGGGTCTCACCACCCTCAGAGTGGAAGAACTTCTTCCTTACATCCAACCTAAATCTCCTCTCTTCCAGTTTGAAGCCATTAGCCCTCATCCTGCCACTACAAGCCCCTGTAAAAAGCCCCTCCCCAGCTTTCTTGTAGCCCCCTTCAGATACTGGAAGGCCACCAGAAGTTCTCCCAGGAGCCTTCTCTTCTCCAGGCTGAACAACCCCAATTCTCTCAGCTTGTCCTGACAGCAGAGGGGTTCCAGCCCCTTGATCATCTTCATGACCCTCCCCTGGACCTGCTCCAACAGGTCCATGACCTTCCTGTACTGGGGTTTCACCAGAGTGCACCAGAGGGGGAGAATCACCTCCCTCAACATCATCTCATCCAACCCCTGCTATAGCAAGGTCACCTAGAGCAGGTGGATGGAGGGAAGCAGCAGTTCCCCAGGTTGGGAAGCACCAGAAGAGCAAAGAAAGGGAGGATGCACCCCAAAAAGCACCTCACCTTTCCCAGTCTTCAGTGATCATGAATTCATTTTAAACCCAGTGGTGTGGAGGCAAGAAACCTTCAGCAACCCCCTGCTCACCACCCCAATCTTGGG